GCGGGTTGAGCCTTCTTAGTGATTTGGATCGTAATACCCTTTTTGCGATTCGACGCCCGCTACCCTAAAGTTGATCGTCATCCGTGGACCACATATCCAGCCACAGCGCAAGCTTCCTCGTCAGATGATCACCAATCCTCACATGGGGAAGACCGAGATACTTGATTTCTGAACTGCGCTTTATTGTCGGTAGTTGTTTTTTTTAATCTCATCCCACTGTTGGTAGGCGCTCATGTCTTGACTACATAACTGATTGCTCACATCCTCGATAGACACTTCTACTTAAGTCATCTCAGGGTTCCAATTCTTTTCGTTTTCTTTTTGAAACGACATAAATTCTTCTTCCATAATGATCAAATTACCTTTCAAAGTTCTAGCGGGCATGTTCAGATTGATATTCCATAGGTATCACGTTTACCCCTTTCATTCATTCGATGACTCAGTACGCGATCGTACAGTATGGCTAAAGTTCCCAAATACTGGTTGCGAATTTATCTGACCAGTTCTTGATTAGTTACCATATCAAACTCCAATGTAATATTATCAATGGAGTAGCTACCTTTGCTATTGCCAATGGCCGCCATTACCACTTGGTGAAACTCTCGCTAAGCATTCGTCTTCATCAAATTATGTATCTGAGTTTCAGAAATAGAAGAAAAGAAAGCTATATTCTTACAAGTCTAACCCTCTACTTAACTGTGTTTTTAATCCTCTCTATGAGGATCTATACAACAAGAAGTCTTCTCTTGTTCTGCCTCTTGGTCTCAGACTTAAACCATTCATTTCTGGTGCCGGCATTGAGCTGGAACATATATCTCCTTCTTGCCTTCTTTCTTCTCCTGCTTGGCAATTGGTGAGGTCACAGGCTGACCTCACACTGACAACATTTAATAAATCAGACACTAATGAATTACAATATAAACAAGAATTTAATCAATTGAAAAATGTAGAAAATAGATATAAATCCTTATTTACAGATGGCCCATGGTTCCTAGTATGGTGATCTACCTTCAGATGCTGGCGATCTATATCCCGTGTTTTATATTGTATTGTCTTCTTTAATTACACTGTGTTAGTTTTACATGCTAGTTTTATGTTCATATCTGTGATACTCTAGTTATTTTACTGTCCTTCGTAGGCAGAATTTTATAATTTCACTTAAATTGTTGATATATTTATAACTTGCTTTAGTCACGATATGGCTGAAATATTGCCGATGTGACTTAAAATCTTCACTCACTCACTCACTCATGTCGTACTTCACGTTAACAAGACAATGTTGCCGCACTTACCCACTACATCGTCCTTAAAAGACTTCGTCGTGGCAATGACATTGACAGCAGGTTTCTTAATATGTCTTGGAAAGCATCCCAAAGGTACGGCAAGAAGGATGGCTGCACATCCAAAGACCAGGAACCCGATCCACCATGCCCCGACCCACTGAGGGTGATGAGCATCAAACTGTGATTCTTGAAATCAAAACATACTCTCAAAATATTTCATTGACAGCTCCATATTTTGGTTTTGCACATTAAACAACGGTTATTAATATCTAAGGGTGTAGTCCAGCGGATAACATTTAGTACTTGTTGACATTTGAAAACATAAAAACACATGATTTGAAGAAGGTGTAGCAGACATATATCCGTAATTCCATGCGACATTCTCTGCATTTGAGGGCAGCATTTCCTCTAAACCTTCTTTGTGAAGCAATATTGAATTTGTGGGAGTTAAGTTTAGTTCACTTTTAACAAAACCTACCGCTGCTGTCTACAGGCATGGAGCTAAACCATCCACCAAGGTTAAGCGCAACACATGGACCGAGGAACGCCCCAGTCATAGTGATACCTGCAATACCATGCAGATTATTAGCAACATACCGTGTCAACAAAGGAGTTTATGTCGACATGGACATTACATGGACAAATGAATACAATACGACCTGTTCATGTGATATTATACACGATACATCCTTCATTGATATCAGTAGCCTTGACACTAAACGAGTTTTCAACCAAGCAACAAAGGAGATACAAGGCTCTCCATTTCACCTCATTATTCTGGAAAATTCAGCAGCCAACAACAGACATCACAGCAAAAATAACTCGGTTTCCGCAATGCGGAAACCTGGTAGAAAGTGGACTGAAACTTAAGTTTCCACCTAGAATCCAGTGAGTTTCCGTTCTTTTACATTGAGTTTCCGCAATAACGGAAACTTACAATTACCCACTTTCTAAGGGTTTCCGCAAGGTTTCCGTTACCCACACTCCAACAGGTTTCTGCAAGGTATCCGTTACCCACACTCCAAGAAGTTTCCGTTGAGTTTCAGTTAACTTTGAATCCATCAGGTTTCCGCAAGGTTTCAGATATTAAGACTCCAAGAGGTTTCCGCATAGTTTCAGTTACCAACAATCCGACATAGTTTCCGCATAGTTTCAGTTCCCAACAATCCGACATAGTTTCCACATAGTTTCAGTTACCAACAATCCGACAAGGTTTCCGCATAGTTTCAGTTACCGGTTTCAAGTTCAGGTTCACAGGTTTTCATATGCGTTTCAAAGAGCTAAATGTAAACATTCTTCTTTATTTATATCATAAACTCTTGTTAAAAACAATATAAGCAATTTGTTATTATCATGACATTTAATAAAAGAAAAACAGAATATATAATAAGATTCATTGTTTTATTTTCTCAACATGGTATGGATTAGCATTTAAGGCAAATAAAGATCATACATATAACTAGTAATATAGCACTAAAGAACAGGGCAAAACATGTTGGCATAACTCAATCCAGTTTTAGAAATCATATATCATTTATAACAAAGTTGTAATTTTTCATCAGTTAAACTTTCATTCACGTATTATCTTGAAATAGCATGTTAGATACGAAATTTATTTCTAAAATCATGCTAATGATGAAAAATAACAATAGCATACAACTTAACACAGTAATAAAACATAGCTGCATCGGACATTTATTTGCACGCCTTGGCATTCAACCACACACTCTATGTCACAACTATCGCCAAACATCCACTATGATATACAATAACACAACATACAGCTTACAATACAAAAATAAAATAAAAATAACATTATGAAATTGAAAATAAATTCAATTAAATTGCAAGAGCTGGTCAGTGGGCCCTGTAAGGGGCATCCCTGGGCGGAGATCCCTTTGTTACTTTGGTTGGATGCCTCATCCTCGTCCTCATGTTGGCCTTGACGAGAGCAGTGGAGGTGTAGATTCTTTCCAAGTCCAGTGTCGTCGTGTATGCCATAAACTTGCTGGACTCACAGACAAAGGGGACGGAATGCAACTTATTGACGTCTTCTTCGTCACTCACGACTGGTGATGTCATGTCTATGGTGAGTGTTGTCGCTACCTTTTTCTATCGTCTATCTGGCCAATCAATAGATGCAAGTCTGTTTAGGCGTTGTGCAAGTTTCTGAAAATGGCAGGTAATAACGAATTACTAGGTTATTTTGATGAATTACACAAACATCAATCAACAAGAAACTGACAATGCCAAGGATGATTTAAAATGAGTAATCCACAAGTAAGTTTGAATAAAAGAGAACTAAATTGAACAATCACACTTTGCACTAGTTTTCTCAAAACTCAAATTATGCAATTCATCACACTTCATTGACCGAATGTAATATCTTATTTTCTAAAGAGGACACAGAATCTATACAAACTTTGCTCTGGAGTTACATGCTTCCCAGACCAGAGGTAGTAATATGTTATATATAATATCTGAACATTTGTTGCATTTTCTATGTAGTAATAATGGTACTAGTAATAGATTTGCATCAACGTTGTGGTGTCCACCGCCGTGATGTTGCTGGAATATTGCTAAAAGCGGCGTAAAACCAAACTCAGTCAGGCAGTTGTATTGTTGAAGGCACAAATATATTCACCCAGTAGTGACTGTATGTTTACACCATTACGTCTTTGAGGTGTATTTAGAAGTGAATAATACAAGACACGAATGTTTCCGGATGTCAAGGTCTTTATTATGTGAAAACACAATGTTTCGGAGTGAATGCTTACACCTGACGAAGGGTAAGCATTCACTCTGAAACATGTTTTCACATAATAAAGGAGTTGACATCCATAAACCTTGTCTCTACTCTATTAATTTGAAATTATTTACTACTTATAATGAAAGTCACTACAGATAGGTCAAAATTACCTTCACACATGTTTCAGCTGACCATCCTTGGTCATTCGTTATACAGTCTGCAGACTCATCATCAGCTGAAAAAAAATAATCTCATTTAGTGCTTAACACTCAATGCGTTTATTGAAACCATTCACACTTACTTTCAGTTCATTCTTCCCGCTCTTTTATGTTTGCTTACGTCACTTCCAGTCACGTTAATTCCAATGACGTCATGTGTCTACTTCTGATGACGTCATCTTTTGTTCATCCGTTGATTTCTTTTAGATTCACACAGTGAGTCTATCCTCTTTGTATTGCTTTAAGTTATATTTTCGCTTGCAAAAAAAGTTATATTTCCGCTTTCTCGTCGAGCAGTTAGTGTTAGGCTTTGACATTGTTCAAGCGTGTGGATTCTTGGCGTTATTGTTTCGAATACTACGAATTTGCATCTACACACTCGGTATGCCTCGGTAAACGAAGAGCGGCAACAAATCACAGGTTGGTGCGGAACGGCGGAAAAGTGAGGAAAACAACTGAGTCTTCGACGAAGGCTTCATCAACAAATGCGTCGGGTGAGTTACGAAACACAGAATGTTTTCATAGACCCCCTGTCTACGGTTCCTCGGGTTCATGTTGAGTCTTCACTGCTTCTCCCGGTGCACGAACCGGATGATGTTGTTCCAAATAGCACTCCCGATACTAATTTTCAGGAAAACGCAGCAGATAAATTGTCTGCTCATTTTGGTGCAATTTTGGAGTTAATTAACAAATCGAATTTGCCTCAAACGTCTTCCTCACAGGCATTTCGTACGCCCGCCAATTCTAACCATGCCGCTAGCTCCAGTCTTATTCAGGTTGGCAATGCTGGAGTTCCCTCTGACGTCATGGGTTCGCCCATTGGTCAATTTGGGAATCCCCCTCTCCTATGCTGCCGACAACATTGGCGTACACGTGAAACAATCACTGAAGGAGAGGGTATGGAATGGTGAATACGTGGACCTGGCTCTGCTGACTGACAAACACATCGACGGCGAGGAGGAAGGTTTTCGAATGGTGACTGACAGCACAGGTAACGTAGTACTTACTCCGATGCAGGCAAAATTGTCGTCACGAAAGCCACTCGGCATTGGGGCTTGGACTTCCGGCTTTCATGTTTACATGTCTGTTTACCTTGAAAAACATTCTTCGCCTTCCACAGTGCAGGGAATGCTGTCGTATATGGAAGCAGTACGAAATGCGGCTGTCACATTTGGGGGTGATGGCTGGATCATGTATGATAAGCAGGTTCGTTGCAGAATGGCTCGTGATCCACTGAGACAATGGGGCAGAATTGATGGTGAGTTGTGGCTACGCTACATGATACCACAACAAAACCGGATCAAAAGTGCGTCGGGTATGGTAGGTACACAGGTTAACGGCACCAATGCTGGCAATAGATCATTCCCGAGTAACATTTGTTGGGATTTCAATAAGGGGTCATGTTAAAGGCTGTCATGTAGATATCCGCATAAGTGTGGAAAATGTGGCAACACCTCACACGGGGCTTCACATTGCTTTCGACAGGACGGGGTCTCACGACCCCAAAACAGCAGCGTGCAGCAAAACAAGCGGCCAAATGCATCAAAGCTTAACTTCAGTGGCACCAACTCCAGTAAAATTTGAAAAAATATGTCCATATTTGCTTCGTTTTGCCAGTGATAGTGTGCATAAACATCATGCAAGGTTATTGTTTTCAGGTTTTCAATCAGGTTTTCGTTTAAGGTACCAGGGTTGTTGTTCATACAGGTGGGCAGACAACTTAAAATCAGCCAAGGCTCCAGATGGTCTACATGTTGTTCAAGCAAAACTGGATAAGGAGTTGAATTTGGGAAGAATTGCAGGGCCATTTATCAACCCACCCTTTAAGAACATACAGGTATCACCTATTGGGCTTGTGCCGAAGAAACAGGAGTTGGCAACCTTTAAAGTAATAATGGAAAAATCACCTGATGACTTTAGATTAATTCACCATCTCTCTTATCCACAGGGGAATTCCATTAATGATCATATTTCTCAACAGGATTCCAGCGTTACCTATGCACGATTCGACGAAGCGGTGCAAATGGCACAGAGACTAGGTCCAGGTGCATTACTGTCCAAGTTTGACATCAAGTCAGCTTTTCGCATCATTCCTGTACATCCTGCTGATTTTGAACTACTTGGTATCTATTTCCAAGGAAAGTATTATGTGGACAAATGTTTACCTTTTGGTTGTTCAATTTCATGTTCCATTTTTGAAATGTTCAGTACATTTCTGCAGTGGTGCTTATTGCAGACACTTGCAAACAAACAAATGATGCACTATCTAGATGATTTTCTTACGGGTGGCCGAGCGGATACACAAGAGTGCAGTGACAATCTGTCACACTGTTTACACCTCCTTCAGGACTTAGGTGTACCAGTAGCGCCCGAAAAGACTGTCCAACCAACAACTTGCATTACTTTCTTGGGGTTGGTTATCGACACAGTGGCGGGGGAGGTGAGAGTACCTCACAACAAGATTCAGGAAGTGAGGCAACAGATATTGGAAATGTTGGCCTCAGATGCAAAGAAGGTAACAAAGCGAGAATTGCAGTCACTTGTTGGTAGACTCAACTTCATTTGCAGAGCCATTCCTATGGGACGAGCATTTTGCCGTAGATTGATTGACCAAATTAGTACAGTGAAAGCAGCCTTTCATCGCATTCGGCTCACACGCTCAGTGAAAGAAGATCTTAACATCTGTTTGGAATTTATTTCTAATTTTAATGGAATTTCGATCTTTCAGAGATCACATTGGGATGACAATGGTACATTGCAGTTTTTCACAGATGCAGCAGGCAGTGCAGGTTTCGGAGCATACTTTCAGGGCCATTGGGTATATAGTCCCTGGCCAAAGGAGTGGGCGGAGTCAAGCGTGACCAGGGATCTAACATTTCTGGAGTTGTTTCCTATTGTTTTATCAATCAGACTTTGGGGCAGGTCCATTGCAAATAGGAAGGTGCTATTCAACTGTGACAATCAGGCTGTAGTTCACATTATTAACAAACAGTCTTGCAGACCCCCGAGAGTGATGGCTCTGGTGAGAAAACTAGTCCTGTTGTGCCTCAATTATAACATCCTCTTCAAAGCTAAGTACATAAGCACAAATGAAAATGTTATTGCTGATGCTCTTTCGAGATTTCAGTGGGCACGTTTTCGGAAAGTAGCACCAGCAGCAGATCTGACACCAACACCAGTACCACAAGACATCTGGCAGATCTAGACCAGGAGGCACAGAGGCTTCTTCAGCGGTCACTTTCCAGCAACACATGGGCAACTTATGAAACTGCCATAAACACCTTGCACACCTTCCGGGCAGCGCATAATCTGGATCAGGTTTGGCCGGTACCAATTGACCACATGGTACACTTCATTGCTTACATGTCTTTGAGGCAATTTTCAGTACGTACTGTAAAGACATATATATCAGCTTTATCCACTAATCATAAACTTAAGGGGATAGCACATTGTACAGAGCATTTCCTGATACATAAGCTCCTTGCTGGCATGAGTAAAGGAAACACTACAACGGATATTCGCCAGCCCATTACACTTGATCTTTTACAAGTCGTCATTTCAAATTTGCCATTTGTCTGTACATCATCCTTCGAAGCATGCCTTTTCTCAGCAGTTTTCCGCGTTGCCTTCTTTGGATTTTTCAGGGTAGGTGAATTAGTACAGAGTAAGGCAGGCCAAGCAGGTATTTCAAGGAAAGATGTCATATTACAGAAAGAGCTTGGCCAAGTAACCTTGACGCTGCGACACTCAAAAGGAGACAGAGCCCAACAGGGGGTAGTGGTTACACTTACGGCAATTCCACAGCATCCATTGTGTCCTGTCAGCGGTATGGAGCAATATCTCAACATACATCCCGCACAGGCAGAGTCAGCTTTTGTTCATTTTGACCAATCTAATCTGACCAGATATCAATTTCAGGCAGTCATTAAGAAGGCTTTAGCCTTCAGTGGCTTACCCACCAATAATTATACATCTCATTCTTTCAGGATAGGTGCCGCAACCTCAGCAGCTGCAAATGGACTGAGTCAGCAAGTTATTCAAAAATTTGGTAGATGGGGGTCAGATTCATTTAAGTCATATATACGTTTGCCACAAATATCTATTTGACTTCAATCAAAATTTTCTGCGTTGTACAATTATGTTTCAGTATGGCTTGTGGGGTCAAGCTACCTGGCGAGGGCTCAGCAGTTTGTCTCAAGGGAGGGGTGGACATCCTGTCTGTGGCTGGCCAGGGGAGGAATGAAGTGGCAGGAACTTCTTCCCATCGTAGAACAACAACTTAAGTCCACACAGCATCCCAGGGCCATCCTATTCCACCTTGGCTCGAACAACCTGGGATCGGTAAAGGCCAGCCAGCTCTACCTTGACATCCATGCTGATCTGTTGCGCGTCAAATTATTGATGCCAAAGACCACAATCGTGTGGTCTAACATGCTGCCGAGGAGGCATTGGCACAGGGCACGCTGCTTCGACGCGGTGGAAATGTCAAGAAAGAAGCTCAACAGGAGGATCTCTAACAGAGTGCTTGAGATGGGGGGTGTAGTCGTGAAACACCCGGACATTACACCCAGTAGTCCTAATATGTATTGTTGGGATGGTGTCCACCTCTCCCATGAAGGTCTGTGTAAGTTTTCTATGGCCATCCGCGAAGCCCTTGTGCCCTATCTGTAATGCATCCTAACTAATAACGTAAGTACAGCATTAGCGTAAGTATTACATTTCCATTATTGAATGGCTGGTGAGGGAAGGAATTTTGATTCCTGGTTCATGGTCTTAGGTGGGCTTAGCACATTAGTGCTTTTGGCCTGGATCTTGTGGGCTGCAATCATTAATACTTAGGCAATATTCAAAATTATGGCAGGACGGCTCTTCAGCCGGAATCTGTTTAACCCTTCTGCTTCTCAGCGGATAGGAATCTTTGGCTTTGCCTTATTATTGTCTGCTTTTCAGCAGAAATGCGATTGCTCTATTTGCTGCTGGCAACATTGTTGCCCATTGCTGCTGCTGGCAACATTGTTGCCCATTGCTGCTGCTGCTGCTGCTGCTGGCAACTGTAGTTGCCCATCCTAACATACTCATTGTTTATTAGGGCAGCCCACAGATCAGCCTCACCTCTGACCTTGAACCCAATATTCTCTTCTTGTTATCTTTTAATGCTTTCCTTCTCAAGGCATATATAAGTATCTTCTTGCTAAAGGATGTGTTTCAATAATCTCATTTAGTGCTTAACACTCAATGCGTTTATTGAAACCATTCACACTTACTTTCAGTTCATTCTTCCCACTCTTTTATGTTTGCTTACGTCACTTCCAGTCACGTTAATTCCAATGACGTCATGTGTCTACTTCTGATGACGTCATCTTTTGTTCATCCGTTGATTTCTTTTAGATTCACACAGTGAGTCTATCCTCTTTGTATTGCTTTAAGTTATATTTTCGCTTCCCTCCCACCCTTCCCTTGCTAGCCATCTCTTTCTTCTTTCTGTTAACAGATTGTACATTATTGGCAAAGGGCTTGTAATGTCTATGTATATATGCCTGTGGCAATAAATGTTAGGGGTGGCCTGGATCTTGTGGGCTGCAATCATTAATACTTAGGCAATATTCAAAATTATGGCAGGACGGCTCTTCAGCCGAATCTGTTTAACCCTTCTGCTTCTCAGCGGATAGGAATCTTTGGCTTTGCCTTATTATTGTCTGCTTTTCAGCAGAAATGCGATTGCTCTATTTGCTGCTGGCAACATTGTTGCCCATTGCTGCTGCTGGCAACATTGTTGCCCATTGCTGCTGCTGCTGCTGCTGCTGCTGGCAACTGTAGTTGCCCATCCTAACATACTCATTGTTTATTAGGGCAGCCCACAGATCAGCCTCACCTCTGACCTTGAACCCAATATTCTCTTCTTGTTATCTTTTAATGCTTTCCTTCTCAAGGCATATATAAGTATCTTCTTGCTAAAGGATGTGTTTCAATAAACAATAACACGTTACTTTTCTTTGCATTTCTCCATTCATTCATTTGAGGTTTAACAAACCCCCAAACAATTGCAGCGACATTTATACCAACAAGCAAACTACAGATTTATCACTTTAAGGTTATGCAATGAGTAGGTGAACGGCCTGACATAAACATCCTGAGGAATGAAGTTCAGTTATCACCTGTGACATAACCTTGTTAGTAATTACGGCATTGTAAAATCAAGGGGTCAGTTTTACTGCCATTTCACACAGGTGTGAAGTTTATTTGGTCCAATTTGAAATCATGATTAAGTTACCGGTTATTCAAATCCATTTGCAAATGTAACTTGAGTATGGTTCATTTTGTGAAAATGTATCTAGGGAAGCATAATAATAAAATATTCAAAGTGAAATTACGTCTATGTTTCATAGTACCATAAACACATACCTTCAGTTAGAGAGGGTGATCTTTTCTTCCAGGAGTGGTCGTGACACGTTTCCTCACAACAGCCTAAATGAATAAAACAAATCAATTAATATACAATCTATTTGCTATATTTTTCAAAATTGTAGTGGATGTTTAGATAGACACTTATTTTACTTCACCAACCTTAAAAATAGTTCGTGCAAAACTGTTTATACAGTCAGGGGACTTAAATATACGTCAGTCGGCAAAATTCTCATAGACTTGGATGCTATTTTAGTGAAGCTATGTAATTTTCATTAATTCAGTTTTCCATATTTGGTTGTCAAATTATGCAGGCTGTTAGGAAATAATCGTGGTCACAGATACATAATTTTCCGCATTGTAGTTACATGAGCAACATATATACAACACTGCGTATTCTTTCCCCATAGACCGCCATGTTAAAAATTGCCATAACCATGACACACATTGAATTGAAAATAAAACGGAAATTATGTCTTTGAAGCTGAGATGATTCAGAACCCATGTGCAAAATATGAACAATATCAAACGGATATCAAATAAATTCAAGACATATTTCTAGCTGCACCAAATTAACATGTAAGTCGAATAATGCATAGTGGCGAATACCTATGGCCACTGGCTGTAATTCGATAGATTAGCTTGTTTACCAATCCGGATTTTCTGTACGTAAAGAAAATAATTCATAAAACGTTATTTGACAACAAAACAAATTGGTCTTACCTGACAGGGTCGTGGTACTGCGAGTTTTTCGCAGCCATTTCCATCTTTCTTTTCCAGGTAGCGAATTCTCTCTTTCAGTGCTTTGAGGGTAACTGAGGCGGCTTTGAAAATCGCGACTCGCAAAGGCTCACGGGAAAAACACTTTGTTGTTGTTTTTTTAATCTAAATCTAACATTACAGTTTGACAATATCTTTCCGCGTTATACAACAAAATAAACATACACTATACACATAAAATGTCAGCTGTGTGTTTTTTATAATGATTTAGGTAGTCTCGCGTGGACGTGATCCGGTCGCCATTGTTTTATTTGTTTACATTGCCGACATCAAAGGGGACCGTGAAAGGTGGAAATGAGCAGATTGAATGTGAGTACCCAACAGTGGGCTTGTATGGGCTTAAGGGTCTTCTCATCGCATTATGGGCACTAATTGCTCCTCCTCAGTGTCAAGCATCAACATGTAGGCCTAGAGAAGTGAATAAATCTGAAAACATATTCACGTTACTTTAAAAGTCCTCATCGAGCTTCATGAGTCCTACTCATGAGAGATTGTGTTAGTGGCAAATAGGTGATTCTTCAAAACCCTGTCAGGAGTAGGCAATATACGTTCTGCTGGACGTAAAACTTCATCGTGTAAGTAATTTACCTATTGAGCTCAAAACATGCACTTGTATTAGACATGCTTATACCATGTTCATTCTTTTCAGTTCTACACCTAGATCTACGTATGCCATTCCCTGTATTATAAGTTTACGTATCTAATTATATGTGATGTCAGCTCAATATATCTAAGTGAGCGAGTTTAGTATTACGCCGCACTCGGCAATATTCCAGCTATATGGCGGTATTTATCCAATTATACCAGTACATCTTTTTTATCATTTTATTACCATTAAAACAATTATAACATACTTTACACTCATAGCTTTGTGTAATAATTTATGTAATCAATTATTAAACCTCTTAGCCTTACAATGCATTGACACAAGTCACGTATAACATTTCTAAAAGAATCATTGTTTCAATTATTTGATTTACAGATACGTATTGTGGATCCACTGTCTTGTTGGAGATTGACAAGAGGCTTCGCTTGGTAATCATTTATAGTTACACCATACCATGCTCCTAATTTCATTAAAGGAAATCTTAAAACAATATTTTTTATTCATCAGCATTTAGTCAAAAACAAGTAAACACTAAATAGATACATAGAATAAATTTCTTTATCTTTGTGAAAAATATAATCACTCAAAATGTAACAGTGCGTGGATTCCAGTGTAACCATAAGTTTAACATATGTTATATATGGGATTACACTATCATAAGTTGATATGTTTTTCAGTTCCAAGAAAAAGTCCCAGTTTTCTGTCCGCACTGCCAGTCGTTTGTTTCAAGGAAACAAGGAATCGTCTGGAATGGACGGCAGTTTCTCATCAGGTTAGTCGTCCAAAATACTTCACTTCATAGGTTTCATTTAACGATTTCAGTTTGATCTGTCCCATTGCTATCCATCATATATCAATAATGAATATATTTAATTATTGTAATTTGTTTGATTGGCATTTAGAAGTTGGTGACAAATAAGAAAGTAAGAGAGTTTATGGATAACAACTTCTTTATTATATATGATGCGACATTTCGGTATGGATTCTTATACCGTTGTCAAGCAAGAGTGTAATTATTGTATACCAGATATGTAACTGTAACTGAAAGTGAATAAGTTGTGTTACACATTTTACAGTTTTTAAATTAAATTAAAGGTCACATAAAAAAATAATATTTTATGTTACTATATTGCTGGGAATGTTTCTTTAGAGGGTTGATAAAACTAAGAAATACCCACGATTTTTCATTCATGGGAAATGTTAGGTTTTGTATGCTTTTCTCAGTTGAGTTGGTCATTTCAATTTGAATAAGATCACATAATAATTAGGTGTTACATTCAGTGTTTAAACATAATTCGTATCTATTTAAAATATGTATGTACCGTTTTACCTATGCTTCGATTTCAATTGGCGATTTGGTAGTAGATGTTACCTTGAATATGAGTACAGTAACAGTAATAAATATTACAACAATTTGCTTCAGAATACTGGGTTGGCTACTATTTTCTGGTACCAATCAATACAATAAGTGACATGTCAAATGGAAGATACAATATACATGTATACTACATATCTTTCCTTTGTGATTGTGAAAAAAATATTTTGGTTACATATACAAATTAGTCGTTCTAATTATATAATTTCATTGTGATCAGATGTACCACTGTGCATGTTTTTGAATATGTATAAATGTGTTACTTTGGCTGTTTTTGCAGTTTTACTAAGCATTGTATGTATTGTATTTGCAGGATGATGATGAAGAGTCTGTGGGGGATGATAAGGATGGCAACGATGTTGTGCCAGACATCAACCAGGACTCTTCATATTCACCCACAAATCTTAAGTAGAGCATACACCATCTGTTTGCGGTCCATCTGTTTGCGGTTGTGGACTGGTTCA